GCCGGTCTGTACCTAGTGACGTCACCATCAGCTAAAAAGGTTTTTATTCATGGCTACCTTAGGGAGGCTAGTGCTGATAGTTGGGGTTTCATGAGAAATTAAAGAATCCGGATTACTTTGGTCCAAGTCCACTCGGGACTGCTTTACTGCCAGAGTGGCTGGTGCAATAGTATTACTGGTTATAGCAGCGCTACTCAATTGTTTCTCAGCGCATCCCGTACCTTACTGGTTTGTACGTGTAGAAGTGGTGAAACCTTTTCTCCTTTGTCTCCTGCGCTGACAGGGAGTTTTGTCCTGTACAGTTGTAATGGTTTTAAAATTTAGCCTTATACGACCCTGATAGTTAGTGAACCTCTTAGTATCATATGACGTGGTGAGCCTGAAAAAATCGGGGCAACTCAGCTGTGCTGCTCTCTTGTGGAGGCGTCTAGAGTAGCAGTGAGCAAGCGTGATGCAGCATGAGTTTAACACCCTTTTCTTGACGACATCTAGAGACATGGTACCTGGGACATCATGTGCCATTGCCTGTTGAGAAGATGGCAGCCTCTTCATTACTCCAGTTGCCAAGTAATCTATTAGGGTTTCAGTTTCCTCGATAAGGTTTGGAACTAGGTTGTTGTGTTTCCCAAAATGACATGCTAAGGGCTGGAAGTCCTCAGCTGCTGTCTTGATTCCATCTATCACAGACTTAATACTGTCAACTTCTCTATTTTCCTTGATGTTATTAGTCACGACCGATATAATGTTTTCAGCCCTGATGAGCGGTGTAAGGCATGTAAGTTCGTTGGGATCTGGATCATATGACGCGAAACAGTTTCGGTCACAACCTGAAATGTTATTGGAACCAACTCTTGTGGCGATAGAGGTTCGTTCACAACCTGAAATATTAGTGTAACCAACTCCCGGCGGCTGTCAGCGACGACGGAGCTGAATGAAATGTCGACAGCAACGAACTGCAGGCCCCCACGTTCGCCACATCCGATAGCAGTGGCATCACTCGTATTGATGACTGTTGACTTCGGATGCCCAGTACCCCCGACCTAAGTACCGCAACAATGGCACGTATTTGAGAGCAATACCAGAGGGAACGTTTACTGTTGCGAAAGCGAGTTTGGAACGCCGTGGCGACAACAAACGACAGTTCCTGTTCACGCTGAGGTCACCATTACTGTGAGTAGACAAGACGGCGTTGAACCTGACTGTGATCCAACAACAACTCGGGGGACAACTGTGTGAAAAACGTGACTGGGCCAGATCCACTGGTACCGGCCGTTCGTTAGCAACTTTTGCCGTCATGCACGAACCCATAGACTCCACCACCCCTAGATTGCAGAATTATGATCTCGCTATTCCTACTGCCTTCCAAGGACTGATTATCGCCGGATATTTGTGACGTCCAACCAAGTATAGATGGTATGCGTCTGCTTGGGGGAGATAGGGAACTCAGGGTGTGAAGCGGAGTGGCAGTGTTGATGAGTGACCGTGCCGAAAGTGGACGAGCCACTAGAACTGTACTGTCAGGGCTCCCAGACTCCTTCTGGTGACGCTTCACAGTCAGACACTCCAAGTATCTAGTGGGAGGGTCCCATTGAAGCCTTGCTGGTGAAATAAAACAGAATCGATCAAGGCACCAAGCAACATCATGAGTGACAACTATGAAGTACGGTTAGGCCATCATAGAATGGGGCTTTAGGGCCCCTAATCTCAACCCTGGGCAGGATGGATCAACCTTAAGCCGGACTTCTGGCCGGAACCCACTCAGCACCATCAAAAAGGGCTAGGCTGCATGAAAATATCGGCGATGACACTCTTCCGGGGGTTGATCTAAAATGCGTACAGAGTGAACTATTTTATTACTAGCGACCAGACGCTTGAAAAAACGTTCGGGTTCAAACCTTCCTCGGTAGCGGCGATCATGCCGTAGTGGCGTCTGATCTGGTAATCGGTCAGCAACTATCACGGGAGGGATCTCGTATTCGGCATGTCAAATTGAGTGGCGAAGAAGCAATATCTGTCGATAGCACCGTGGCCCCAAGAGTGGAGCACTTTAGCGGCTGACCAATGCTGGGGGCTAGCGAGGGAAATCATCTAGAGGGCTATCTCTGAAAATGTTCCCTTGGTCGCAACAGTGCAAAAGAAGCGAACCTCACGGCTGAAGCCAGGCAACGAACGCGTCTTGAACGTCAAAACGATCGCACGCATAACTGGGGGATTTCGAGAAAGGAGTCGAATCACTCGTATATATGAACCTAAAGAATTGATGCAGCAACAGAGCGAGGGGGCCAGGAGGCTTTCGCAGGCACACGTTGCCCATAAGCTTGAGGAGAACACGAAAAACCTACATCGACTCATGGCTGAGGGAAAATCTGCCTTTCAGGGAGTTTGGGCAATGAAAGACCCGAACGGGGAGAACCCCCTGAAGGCAGATTCCCGAGACCTACTGCACCACGTTCGGCAAACAACCAAACATTCGGTCATCCAATCAAAACCATCTAATGCCTGATAAGCCTCCAGCACTGCTTAGTAAAAAGAGTTGCACGGAATGAAGGTAATGGCTGCTATGGTCCCCACAGAAAAATTTCAGGGGTCTGGGCAGAAAAATCACGGATATGCGATGACATTCAGCTGTGCGCGTTGAAGTAACGTGCGACTGTCCTATAAGGTCCGCTTTGCGGTCTGTTTCACTACCCCATAGGCAAACACATGCTTCCACGAAAGTGTTAGTGTGCTATTCTCGCTCTAATCTTCAAGGGACGAGACAGGCAGAATCTGAAATGCTATCGTCCTATAGCACTCCTGCCTGTGCTGTCGGAAGTAATAGACAGCCTAGAAGATGACCACGTTGGAGAGCAGTCGGAGAAAATTCAGCTCAGCACGGTTTCCGGAAGGGTAAGTCCTGCGCCACAAACATCTGGCAGCCAATGAAAAGTGGATGGCATGTTGAAACCGCCGAATCCCCGTTTACGCGATTTTCCTGGATTTTTTCAAGGCCCTTGACACAATCTCGCGCGCTCCTTTTCATTCGCAGAATATCAAGGTTGGGGATCAAACGTTCAAGTGCTTTTCCTGCCGGAGGATGACTTCGGCGATAGAGAAATCTGCATAAAATTCAGCAAGGTCTGTTCGGCTTGAAGGACGCAACCATCTGGTCCTTCACAGGCAGCGATTCTGGGTCCACTGCTGTCCCTTCCTTTTGTGAACGACCCTTCACCAAATCTCAGCTCTCCGATTCTACTTTGGTCTAACGCCTTTAATTTATGAAGAAATGCGACATCTAAGACTAGATCAGTTGCACTACAAGGTGATCTCACACAGCTTCGGAGTGGGTGGATGATAATGGACTAGCATTTAGCCCTGGTAAATGCTGAAACGTGTACCCTTGCACCTCTGACGTGCAAAGAGTATCCTACTCTCCGTGAAACACGACTTTCTCGCGCCACCATGCGGAAAGACGTGGAACTGAAGCCGGCTGACGAGCTAGAAAAAAGCTTCGACTATCCGACAGGTGCCTACGGACTCTACACAATGCCGCGCCTCATGAGCAGTTAACTAAGTGCCCTCACTCCAATGCCCTTTCTGAAGCCGTACAAGATATATATATACAACCGGACTCAGTCGTTCACAGAGTCGATGCAATACCATACCAGAAAAAGGATATGGGTTACCCGCAGAAGGTGCAGTGGCGGACAGCTTAAGGCGTTTTGAGGGTCGAGCAAAAGCCCTGTAGGGCAGGGCGAGAGATCCAGGGCCTCTCGTAGTTACTGTAGGTTCCCCGGGGGCTTGATAACGGCTTGCAAGATACGAATTAATCAGAGCCACCCGAGAGCTGAAATCGTACTGAAAGGCCATTGTGCAAACCCGCGTGATAACGCATCAGTGGGCGGAAGCCCATATGCATTCCCACTGTTTTCTCCAAGCTTATGACCACTACGGGCACTACCTGGCGAGGGTACTACTTCCATATCTGTCGACAGTTTCAATGAAGAGGTAGAGCAGCTACGCAGAGCTTGTGGTTATCCAGAAGGGACATAAACTGAGCCAATGGAACTGACTAATTCCACAAAATCTAGCGCGATCAACGCTTTGCCGGACCTTTTGTATCACGACCACCGTCACAAACTTGAGATGACCTTGTGCTTTCATGTGAGACATCTCCAATTATCTTGTCCCCAATTATAAGGCTGCTACTTCTATTCCCAACATTCAGCCCATCATCTTACGTGCTCCTTCCCTTCTACTCGTCTGACTTTATGATTTCACTCTATCTATTAAGGTGCTTTTTATCATCACTTTTTCCCTGCTTTCTCCTCCCCTTTCATTCTGCCCCTTTTCAACTTTTTTCGCTCACTTCATATCCTTGTTTTCACTGGACGCTTGCTCATCCTTCATATCTTCATTTTACTACCAGTTCTAACAACTCTTTGGTGATACGACACTTGAGGAACGTATCTGCACCAAAGTCATTGGGAAAGTCATTTGGTCCACAACAAACTGCTCATCAGGTTGACCAGAGCTACAACAGCTGAGTGAGTGGACCTGTTGCATCGGAATCCACCAAAGATCTACGTTCGTTCTTCACGACCTAGAAACCAGCGTGAATCAATCAATCATTTTTACACTAGCTCATATTGGATGTTGTATGTTGTTCAAAGTTCTCAAGGTTGACACTAGCGCAGTTCAGTCTCTTGTTGTGATAATGCGCAGCGTTGTGATAGTTTATATTCTATTCCTTGTGTTTGTTTTGTTTCATAAATCCTTGGGATTCAACAGAATAAACTTAATAACATCCGTTGATCAGTACATGAATTTATGCCCCCTTGGAAAATATCATAAAGATAAGCCGTCAAAAGAACCTGAATTAAGTAATGACGTAAGTCTTAAATAACACTATTTTTCTTTAGTGCAGCTCGTGGTCTTCTCTGTCATGCTGCAACTCTCTGATTTTTGAAGGCATAGCGAACAAAAGTCTGTATAACTTCACTCATTCACACTGTGGTAGCATGAGTGAAAAGTGTCAGCAAGTTTTCAAGAAAGACCTATGTTTTTACGAATGTTCTCCAAATTTAGGCCCCTGGTTAGTGAAAGTTAATAGAAAAATTAGCAGTGAGAGAATGTTTAACGTCCCTCTGTGTCAATCTGAATGTAATTACTGGTGGGATTCTTGCAAGAGTGATCGTACATGTGTAACAAACTGGCATATTCATTTTAACTGGTCAACAGGTATGAATATAAAAAATTCATGTATTATTTTATTCCCTCATTAAAATATTGACTCTATGAATTATAAATTTACTCTCAGCCGCAACATGTTAACCTACATATAACACGATAGTTGCCTTCATTGAGTTTAACATGACCAAAGTACGAGTTTTAAACACACTTTACAAAGGTGTAAGATAGAAGCATAGGAACAGAGGAAAGTTGGATCTTTAAATTGCATTTTTAGCTTCTCATATAGAAGCGAAATTCATGCGATTTAAAATAATCTTAAGATGTATAAGTTTACTTGTCATTTCTAAGTATATCCTCTTTTTATGACGGGCAAAAATGTGACCCGGTTGACTATCAAGTAATCAGTGAACTCACTGCAGTTGGTATGCATGAGCAATAGAAAGTGATATTGGATAAGTTTACTATTAAAGAAACGAAAGAAAGCCTACGGATCATTAAGCTATGATTGTTACTGAACAATAAGTCAACGCAAAAAACCTAAATGAGACACTAAAACTGATTGCCAAACGGAAAATTAGTTTCTCGGTTATTGAGATTGTTAACTAAGATACAGATCTACTTCGGATAGATACTTGGTGTGCATAAATGGCAAAATATAAGGTGGTAACCAGTTAAATTGTATGAAAGTCTAATTGTCTATCTCGAGTTAGATCAATTTGCTAAAATAGTAAATGCTAGTTAAAACTATTGAAAATCTATTGTTTTACGGAAATGACTATCATCGTGAGTATAACTCATATTTGATTTGACACTTTTAAGCATTTTTTTTACATAAGAATCTATCATGGTTTCGGCCAATGAACCAAACAACTACTTTGTACCTCATGGTATTGTAAAAATTTGACTAGACTCCTCCATAATGAGCAATATACAGTTTGTAATAAATAATAACACATAAAGATGTGTTATGCAATAACACCCATAGTAAAAAGTTATACGAGGAATTACTATTTGTTTAGTGTTTTTCAAGTCCTCTGGAGTGCACAATTAGTTCACAATATAAAAACGAAGCTTACTTCGAGTTAATGTACTTAGCGCTGAGCCATACAGCTATTAGGCAGCAGGAAAGAAGAGGATATAAGCAGTTGTAAAACATTTCTATCTAGTTATCTAAGCATACAGTGTATTGCTTGCGGTAGTTAGGGTAAATGGATTTTGAACAAGAGAAAAAAGTCTTTAAGAGACAAAGTGAGTCCAATTTATTGAATCTGTCCAGTTTAACGCATACCACAACTCAAAATAAAGTTAAAGCAGCACAGAATTTTGATTATTTCTACAGTAAAACAACGGTGATTAATTGTCAACAGGAGTAAAACCTACAGTAAATGAAGTTTTTCTTCAAACAAAATGTAGGTTATTTAGATATTGTCCTTGTGCCAATGTGACAGACGCCAAGGCCAATCACTAATTATTCGTACTTGTAATATATCCATGAATACTAGATCAAAGAAGGACACGAAAGCGTAGTCAGATGGGATGGTATATTTAAGAGGTCTTGCCGAAATACAGATGAGTTCCGACTACCTGGTTAGAGGATTGATAACAAGCAGTACAATGTAACACGACAACGTTTCAAATGACTTGGCTGCTTGACCGTATGTCTTCAACTTAGCAAGTCCGATAAAACTATGAAGGTCAGCATCATTACCGAATCTCGTCATATCCTAGGCTATTGATTCTGGGTAACTATGCAATGCTAAAGTTACCTTTGGTTTAGAATAAAATACTACCAGTTAAACAATGGTGAGCAATACTGAGTTAGGCACTCAAAAATGCGGGATAAAGTTATGGGTTGTTTATTAGTCAGAGCACTAGGCATAAATGAGTCATGATGACCGTTTGGAAAGTAACCAACAGACGGTATTTGCTGTCTCGGTTATAACATCATTTGAGTAGTGCTCTGTTTCCAGATTCCTTGTCAGCTCAGCATCCATCAACATGCAAGAATTCCCAACACGGAACTGTTACAAATGTCAACCTACTTCAGGTGAGTACTCACTAATTCTCTGCACGTGTTTAAAGATCATCGTGATCAATTGTCAGTTGGTACAAGTGACAATAGCAAGTAATTTAACAAGTTGAAAAATAGCTTTACCACAGCATTTTTATCATTGATAATGATAATTATTGACTACATAAGCAATTATACAAATTATCCTAACCACTGGAGACATTCTAGGAAAAAGTTAAAGGAACCAGAAGATATATTGTCACTCTCATGAAATCATTGTATAATATATCGTCTTTTAAAATTTCTTTTAAAGGAACTAACACCTGTCCGACAAATAGTTCATGTGATACAATCCAGTCAATATTTGGTAATGCTAAAACGTTTTGTGAATCAATATGGGATGATGGATGGAAGGTAGTACCAGATGATACAGTTCCTAGTTGTATGATATTCAATGAAAGAAAAGAAATTTCTGTTGTTGAGCATAACAGACTTGTCACACAAAAAAGAGCAATAGAAATAATTGATTTATTAAACGGTACTCTACGATGTACAGTGATGAAAAAAATAATACTTCTCCTCTTATTCTTAGTTATGGCTAGAAAGCTATAGATTGTTCATACATATCATTCCTGAGGTTATTATTCTAGATAAAATAATATTTATTAGGAAAATAGTCACAGATTATTTCGTTACTATTTTTGAATTCACATTTCAGAATTATTGAAATAACAATGCTACTTTTGGCATATTATGGATTTTTTTCTCTTTGAACTTGAGGGTTTCAACATGGAAAATTTTAGTCTGATGATGAAACTACTTTGATTTAAAACAGTTAATTAAAAATTATGTATTTTTAAAAAATGTAGTTAAGATTATTATCGTTTATTTTTCTAAAAACATGAACTTGGTACAATATAGGCACCAACAGAGGGGTTAGGATTATTTGTCAAAAGTTACTTCTTGTATGTAATAATTACTTTACATAATTTTGAGTAGTAGAATGTATTATTCTAGATGATTTATTGAGAAAGTGATTCATTCTAGCAACTCTTGACTTCGGTGTTAGTCAACTGATGTATACAAGTTGCTTTTATTAGCGTCGCTTATATACACTTTTGACTATGACTCCATAAATTGTTTGTTAATAGTGATACCATGCATATTTGACAATAGCCTCCACTGGGACTGCCCAAGATAGCCTGGTCTTTTATTTTACATAATGATTAGAGTTGAAACAAAAACCTGAGTCTCATCAACATTCGGATAAGCAGTATTTGTATTGTGTTTATCCTAAACTGAGCCTGTTCTCTATAATAGCGTGTATTGCACAAGATATTTAACAAAGAACAAGCATGCTGCGCCGAAATCCATTCTGTCTTGTAATACACTGTTAGACATGGGCATTAAGAGTAGAAGACATGAAGTAACTACAGTTTTCGCAGGCGTTTGATGGAATCATCATGTGAACAGTGTTTGGGTCAGGTGAAATGTACTAGGCAAGACATGCAAGTTGATGGATGGGGTTGTGAACCTTAGTCGACTAAATGAGATGGCTTCGACATGAAGTACGCATGCCAAACCACCGTCTACCTTGACATGCCATGCTAAGAGAAGCTGCATTCATTTGGAAGAGGACTCAGGATGACCAGACCAAGGCGTATCACCACAGTATGAAGCCTCTTACTGTTGGTCTGGAACATGTGGGGAGATGTATATCACCTCGCCGAGGTCCGCAAGAGGATAGGACTCAGTGGTGAGAACTCATTGTGACATGGCTGGAAGTCGGTCACAATGGCACAGACGTATTCACTCCTTGATGTCTTCTAGAGCTTGAATACTTGCGCTAACCTTTATTTTCAGATGGTTTATTCTGTTTGTCTCCTTTTCTATCCTCCTATTCTTTGTATACTTCTGGAGCCGATGCCTTTGTGTGAAAGGTTTCACGCTGATTTTGTCAGTCACACCAGGCAAATTCATGTATAAAAGTGTGATGGGTTTTTCATAGAGGCAGTTAAGTTTTAAAGCAAATGCCAACTGATAGTATGTTTAGCAAGCCATCATGGATGTACTAAGTGCTGATACATTCTAATTTCTTATTCATGTTGTTGTATTTATAACTACTAAATCGTTTACTATAAAAGTGTTCATAATATTTGAATAGACGAACTTTCAAACTCAATAAAGTTAATTAAGTACAATAAAATGTGAGAAAGAAACCTTCTTAAAAGTCTTGTTGTATGAAGAATGAGATTTGGCAATGAAATTAAAGTTAGCTAGAATATAGAAACAGAAGACTAAATGAATACTGATATCTAGTAACAAGCCATAGGTATGAATTGTATATTTACTTCCAAGGTAACCTAGTGTTCAAGGAGTTTATTTTGAAGTGATCTTACCGTGTCTCAGTAACTTCCGTAATTTCAAAGAAACGTAATTGACATTTCTGCTTCCTGTCCTAATTTTATGCTTTTTACCTTAGGTTTATAGAGTCATAGGTATAACAACAAAACCCCTTTTCCTGAAAAGTTTTCCAACCATAACTCCTCTTCTGGGACAGTAGTAAAGAAAAAAAATGCCAACTTACTACCAAAGTTAGCGTTCATCAGTTTTACTACCCTTACCTCAAAAACTATATAACATAATTGCAAGGAAATATTGGGTACTCTGGTCTAAAAGTTCATAAGATACTAATAAATTTAGACTGTCGAGTTAGGTGAACCAATCAATATCATCATTAACTAAATTACTTATATAACGACTAACTGAGAGTTCAGACTAGTGTTGAATCAATATTCTGTTTAGGTAAAGTAATCTCAAGCCAATGCAGATTTCAGTTATGACTCTGAAAGTTAATGGGCATGAATCTGATTAGGTGGTTTAGATCCACTTCAGATATTTCAATTCAGAAACATAACCTTATATAGAAATTCATGTATTGATAGTAAACTGTATTTCTTCTACTTTATCAGAATCTTCATCTGAAAAAGGTAGATTCACTCCTAAGAATTTAGATGCAAAATTACTCTCTTCATTAGGATATCCACAATGAGAGCAAATAAAAGTAAAGACAACAGGTATTCTTCAGAGGAGCATTACTACTTATACAGACAGGACTTCAATGAATAAAAGAAGTTTATAGCGTTCCCTATGGACATCTTGCCAAGTCTCATTTCATTTACAGACGTAAGACAGTGGCAAGAAAACTGGCTAAATGGTTTGATAAGATGTGTCAGACTGTGACCCATCACTCTAAAATAGGATTGTGAATTTGTATTTATCTCTTAAAGGTACAGGACTGTTTTAGAGAGGTGTCCTTGAGAAGCTTATGAACATCTTTAAAGCCTTATAAAAATTCTCCATTGTTCCGAAACAGTAGCCAGGTTACATAGAGTTGCCAGATTTCTCTCCAAATCCCTCGTTAACAACCTAAATGAGACAAGTCGCGTGTGTTGATGTGCATCCACCCCCAGAAGAGAGGGTTTACGACCAAGGGTAACCAAAAACGAAATTGTCTAACCATGTACCAACAGACAGGTCACTTAAATCATACTTGATGACTAGGGTCCGTAAGAAGGTCACTTACTTCCCATCCTTCATAGTGCGTAGTACATTTACAAGATTGACATGACAATGTCTGCTCGGTGTCCGTGAAATCTGGCCTCTTCGAGCTGAGACTATCCTGCAACCATCTTCCTAATTACTGGTCACTTATATCCCGGGTAAAATGAAACTTTTGGTAGCATTTTTAGTCATTATGAAGATAATCGTTGAATGATGTAATCTTAAAACATCGGGTTCAATGGCTTGAATATAATTTAAGAACGTCATCACAACGAACAGTTTGGTAGCTCCAAGTGGAAGTACACGCGGTCAGTTCATGACATAGTTCAGTGTGATCAAAAATAGTTGTGTTAAATTAGCTCTTGATGGTGCATACTACAACTTCTTGGATGAGATCTGTCATCAGATTTGGCACGAAATCAAAGTCACCCAGCCTTATTGTTTCTTTTGTCATCAGTAAATGGAAGAAGTAACGAACTTCTTAGATGAGTTTCCGAAACCGCCTTTTTGGAAAATTACTTGCCATTCTTTCTGTAGTACCTTAGGGTCTACTCAATGTTTTTATATGACTTTTTGTAGTTCATTTTTTGGCGTTCACGCTATGCCAAGTTTGTGTTAGTAATCAGTATATCTCATATTTTCACCATATCAAACAAACAGGACTGAATATTCCCAGCATGTCATATGTATCCAACTGTCTACACATGTCCAATACAATTGAGAACATTGGTAGTCCAAATGCAGAAGTGAGACATAACTACGCCAATGACAAGATCTCTCTCCCTCCCTATTCAATGTCCTAGTTCTGTAGATGATCTCAGGGTTAGTAATCAGCTCAAATCTGACTTCCTTCAGATTCATATTCATAGCAAATGGTATAACCAAGTGTTTCTCAACATGTGTACCAGCCAATAGTTCACTGTTGAATACTTAAACTCCCATACTACAACTATCCTCCTTTCATTACTTAAGTCACAAAAAAAAATATTTTAAAACCATTGTAAAACAAAAATTAAATAATCTTTCGAATTCCATATTACAATATGAAAGCATCGATATACATATATATGTGGATGAAAAACGAAGTAGTTGAGTTTCAATACAACAGATTAGAACAGTAAACAAATATCGATCACAGGCTATTCTCTGATTATAAAGAAGGAAAGAACATAGACAGAAAAGAATACCACAGAAGTGTTTGAAAATGATATTTATCTTTAAATTACATCTGGTATTTAAAGGGAAAATTTTGTAAAGTTAATTTCATCATCATCATCATCATCAAAAATCATATCTCCATGAGATTAGCTTCAGTGGGAGATATTAAGGAACACATGGCAAGAAACAAGAAAAGTTATATATATATATATATATATATATATATATATATATATATATATATATATATATATCAAAATGGTTGACCGTAATAAGGATAACCAAAAGACGATTGATGTGAAGGTCCACTAGGTGGTGGGAGTTGTGGAAGTGGCATTTGTGAAGATACATTTTTTAAACTAGAAGGTCCAAGTGTTGGCATTAAAGTAGGAGTTGGATATACACTTCCACTGCTTAATATGGGTGTATTTTGAGTATCAGAAGTGTTTAGCACAGGAGAAATAGTAGATGATGAAAATTGCACTGAGGATACCACTGGATGATAAGCTACTCCAGTTGTTGTCACTATTGATGGTGAAAGAAAACCAGGTGTAATAACAGTAGTTAGGTGTGCCGTTGAAGTAGGTTTACGGTGAACATAAGGTGTAGTACCTGAATACTGATGATGCGCTTGCAATAAAGTGTCACTTGTCTTTAGAGATTCTAAAATAATACAAAAAACCAACAAAAGCATAAGTAAACATAAGCAGAAACAAACTTTATAGATGATAATCAGTGGAATCGTATCTCTTAACGTTACTTGATCAAACAAAACGACACAAATCAGCTGATTACATATTTACTAATAAGAATAAGGCATGTATCTTGTTAATGAATAAATGGGTATATTCGAACCGTACAACTAGGTGAAATGTTGAGATTACTTTTTATTCAGAAAGAGAATAATTGAGTGAGCAAACAATTTTTTTCAATAACTTCTTCAGGTTCTGCAATTAAACATATCCATCCGAATAAATGAAATATAATAGGCCAAAATAAGGCATTATTATTTTCTCCTTGGGTTCGTAGTGGAATATAGGGCTTCAGTAACACGCCTCCATTATACTCTGTTCTCTGCAGTCTTTTGGACATGGCACCACGATACCCCACAAGCTCTCATTTCATCCTCACGCTATCTGCTCCATGTCACCCTCGCCTCGAACGCTCAAGTTGTCGTCTCCCACTCGATGACCTGGCCTGGGGCGTGATGTCCTCAATCGGCCTTCCCAGTGTATGCCCAATCCATCTCCACTTCCACTTCCTTCTGCATATTCGTTGGGCGATAGCTTTTTGGTTGGTTCGTTGCCAGTCAGCCAGCCAGCAAGAGTTCCTTCTTGCTTATTCTTATTGTTTTGGCCATCTGATCTCCATCTTCAGTATCGACTGAGCGTAGACGGCAGCTGTTGATGAATGTCTGTAGTTTGTTGGAAATGTTTTTCGTGACTCGCCAAGTTTCTGAGCCATACAGAAGCACTGACTTGACATTGGTGTACAAAATCTGGATTTGTTCTTTACGCTGAGTGCAGTAGATCTCCACACTGTTTTCAAATTAGTGAAAGCTTGTCTTGCTTTTCCGATCCAGGTTTTGATATCCTCGTCTGTGCCATCGCCTGTAGTTGAAACGATGCTGCCCTGCCTAGGTAGGTGAAGGTGACTATTTCCTTTAAGTTTCTTCCGTTGATGGTGATTGGAGCTCGTTGTTGTTGGTTGGGTATCATAATCACCTCCATCTTCTCTACATTCCCTTGAAGTCGTATCTTCGTACCTCGCCTCTTCTGTCAACTTGTTGGATCGTGCCTGTAGACTTTCAAGTTTGTGAGGCATTAGACACAAGTCATCGGCGAAATCCAAATCTTCTTGGTTCTTTTCCGCGATCCAGCGTATCCCCCTCTTTTCGCTCCTCACTGTTTGTTGCATGATCCAGTCGACCACAATCAGGAATATCATGGGTGATAGTAGGCGGCAGCCTTGTTTCACTCCTGTCTTCACTTCAAAGACATCACTGAGTTCCTCATTGTCAATCGCTTGGCATGTAGCGTCGTCATATAACTGTTGAATGAGATTGATAAGATTTGTGGCACTAAAACCGTAGTGTTGAAGCAACTGCCAAATTACTTCTCGTTCGACCCTGTCGAAGGCCCTTTCAAAGTCGACAAAGTTAAGGTAGAGAGTTGACTACCATTCTATACTCTGTTCTATGATGATGCGTAGCGTTGCAATTTGATCCGCACATGATTTGTTCTTCTGAAGCCAGCTGGCCAGCTAGCCTGTTCCGGTCGTAATTTTGAATCCAGAGCATCCTTTTAGTCGCTCCAGGACCATGCAGCATAATATTTTGTTTGGGGTGGACAGAATCATGATTCCTCTCAGTTCTCTCAAATACTTAGGTCTCCGTTCTTTGGGAGTTTGACAAGGTAGTCCTTCTTCCAATTGTCAGGTACCTTTCCTTCCAAACCTTCTGCAGTAGTGGTGTGAGCATGTCCACTGTTGTCTCTGTGTCTGTTTCCAGTGCTCCGGAGAAATTCTATCTGGTCCCGCTGCTTTCTTGGATCCCAGCAATTTTATGGCGCTCGGGACTTCACTTCTGCTTTTATCGGAGGGCCTGTGCTCACTTGTAGTTCTGCCGTTGTTGGTGGTATTTCCGGACGAGTTGCAGGTAGTGGTCGGTTCAACAGCTTTTGAAGTGGTCAGCCCATCGTTTCCTTTGTTTCTCTTCTTAGACGGTAAGTAGCTTCCTTCACTACCTTTCACTGTTTCGTCTGCGCTGATCTCTTCCCTCCCAGATAGTAACATGGTATTTGATATAATGTTGTCAGGTCTTTCCTACCAGTAGCCTGTTCTGCTTCACTTGCCAGTGTCGCAGAAGTGTCTTTTGTCTTAGTGCGCACTCTTCTTCACTTCTTCAGTGTACAGTTTTATAGGTTGTGTTCAGTTCCTCTTTTAGTTGTGCATCCTTGCACTGGTTTATCTTCTGCTTCATCATCCTCCTCTCCTCTATCAGCTTTTATGTATCCGACGTCATTCATTCCTTATCTTGTTTCTTCTTTCTTTCAAATACGGTTATGCAGATTTCTTTCCACATAGCTTTCAAAGAGTTCCAGTGTTCATCCATACAGGGTTTCTTCAGGGATGTTCGTGGATATCTCACATTTTGTCTTGATGGCTAACGTGATGTCGTTTGTAGTTTCATCCTTCAGTTCAGTTTCCGTTCTGGGTGTTGAAGTTGAACTGTGGTCCTATCACCAACTTCTATGAAGGCTTTCAACTTGATTTGGAAGGTTCCTTGCACTAGATAGTGGTCTCAACCTATGTTTGCTCCTCTTCTTGATCTTGTGTCCAGTAGGCTACGTCTCCACTTTCTTGAGATTGAGATAAAGTCGATCTGATTTTTACTGTGTCCATCTGGTGAAGTCCATATCGCTTTGTGAATATCAGGCATGATGTACAATTATTATGGAGATCGAATCGAATGAAATGATTATCAATCTACTGTCTTAGTTGTGCAATGAAATCACTATTGAAAGAACAATTATGAAAAGATGAGACAAATTTTACAAATAATGATTCTCATTTTGATGATCTGAGATAGCCATGATTTGGCAGACTAGTATTCATACTGGGTGATGATTGAAGGTGAAATGAAAATTTGAACCGAAGGAGGATTGAAACTAGCGATCATTGGGTTTTCGACTCGATGCTCTACCAACTGAGCTACAAGGGTCCAATTGTTCATCAGATTTCTTTGTTTCACTTCAATCACCAAAGGTTCTGCTCAACTATTATGTGAATTCATGACCCGTTACTAGTATCCGCTTGATCGTATTCACACAGGCTGCCTAGAGTCACGACTTCTCATCCCAATCGAAATTTAAGTGAATTAAAGACGGGGAGCATCATATCGAATATCATTTGATTATCTGAGTGAGATAGCTGTGATTTAGCAGAGTAGTATTGATACTGGGTATCTCTCAGTTGGTAGAGCATCTGGTCGAAAACTGCTGGTTCGAACCCGACCACGGTTCAAATTTTCATTTCACCTTCAATCAGCACCCAATAACAATTCCAGTCTACCTAACCACGGCTATCTCAGTCAAGAATGATATATATATATATATATATATATATATATATATATATATATATATATATATATATATATATTGAAATAAAGTAAGTTTCACTCACCTGGTGATTGATATTCATATGTTTGTGGTGAAAAATACTTTTGAGTTGACATTTCAGTTGATGGTATACTTGTAGAGGAATAATCTTGACTACTTAGTGATTGGTTGAAAGAGATAGTAGTACTATCATGAACAGTAGTAGCAAGTGAAGGTGATATATAAACTGATGGTTTTCGTACAGTAGTAATCACAGGAGGTGTTAATGTTGTAACAATATTTTCTTGTTCCTTTTGATTCGAATTATTCAATGGAATCAAAACCTGATCAAATTGTGAAGATGGAGACATTTTGACAGTAGAATTCATGTTTGTTAATAGAATTGACTGTGATACTGTTGAAGTCGGTATATGTTTCAATGAAGGACCAGTAGGAAGGGAAGGTGGAGGAGGAGGAGGAGGAGGTGATAATGGGGCTACACGAATTGTACTTTGAGAAATGTTCTTTTGACCAGGCATTAAAGGAACTATACCTTGATCAGAATAGGCTTCAGTCAATATAAATAATACAGTATCTATTGAATCCCAGTAAGCTGCATGACTTGTTAAAGCAAAAAGGTATTCATTGAAGCTTTCCAATGGGGCCTCCTAGTTTATAAAGAAGAAAAAGACGAACAGTTGAAGAAATTGAATGATGTGGATTATCGATTAGAAGTATTTATTCGCTTAGGCAACATCTATCAATCAATTTATCATAGGCTTGAATAATCCAACACTACAATACATACCCACTGCTGGCATCAATTATGCTATAAGCACAAAGTTATTGGTATAAGTGAACCAGAATGGAATGATTTATATGGGATATTGAACCAATTAGGCTGGCAATAACACAACATGCAAACTAATCAAAAAAAGTATTATAGAAAAGTAAGTAATCACATTTTAATATAGCACACAAGTTAATCACCAGTGGTTATCCTCCTATATAATAACTAGCCTAGTTACTTCCTTAGCACTCATCCAAGTCTATCGATCAAGGTTGTGCAATACAAAAGTTTGTGGAGATTTACTTATTGGTGATTTCAAGTACGCAAACGTTATCCATTATCGAAATCAACATAGAACCAGACATTACTGAGTAACGAGCTGAGTTGCCAACACCTCATATCAGTACATCAAGTGAAAAGATAGTAAAGTGGAAGATGAAAAAAGAAAGAAATATACAGTACGAAAAGAAAGAAAGGAGGAATGACAAAACGGTGAGATTCGGTATAGCATAGTTAAGATGAGGATAATGTATGTGTACACATCTGCACCACTGACATCGGTTCTCAGCCATGATACATCACCTAGAGTAACAAACCAGTAGTTTCTCTTGTCCTACGGATCCCAACCACCTAGTCTACATCGCCCCCACTCTACATGACTCAAACCAACAGTCAAAGACTTCATACATTGGTACCATATTTTGGCCTGGCAACCTCCGATCTTTTTCCAGCCTGAATCTACTTCGGCTAACATTGTATGACGAGGCGATCGGCGACTAGGCATACGTAAAACATGTCCCAGCCAACCACCTTAGTCGATGAAGGTTCATAACCTCACCAACTGATTTACATCATCTCCATAAAACTCTACACCTGAACTCTGAGTTACGTGGTGATACCACGGAATACGGCCTATACTACAAAGGCAACGGTGGTCGAATACTTGGCGTAACTTGGCAAAAGCCAACTGAGCCTTTTGTATTCGTGCAGAAATTTCATGGGACACTGAGCCACCAGGCCAGGACTAATCCTACTTCCAAGGTAAGTGAAGTGGTCAACACACTCAACCATTTCACTCTCTATTGTTACCCGAGGCACTGTTCAATACCAATCCTGGAGCAACAATTTGCATTAGGGTGGTGAGAAACATTCTCAAATTGCCACCCAAAGTGTTCAGAAGACTCTGCATCTTGTCACCATCGCCACCTAACACGACTATGTCATCTGCATATTCTAGGTGTGACGAAAGTTCTCCTGCAACTACGTCAACCTCTGTGTAGTCAGGTGATGGTAGAGAGACCTCCATAAGAATATCTATGATAAAACTCAATAAGAATGGAGACAGTTGGCACCCTTGACGGACACCACTTGATGAGCATAGCTCCCTGGACATCTCATCATAGGCTCTAACATGCCCACAAGTGTTCGAGTAGAGAGCCTTCAATAAGGTTATGTACTTACTCAGCATGCCTTCACTGACAGACATTGCCATAATACTTCTCGATCAACTGAGTCAAATGCCGTCGACTTTAGGTAGAGAAATACAGCCAGTGTCGGTAAGTGTGTATATGTTCCAGGACCTGGTGCAGTGTGAATATCTGGTCGGTACACCCGCGGCTGAATCTAAAGCCTGCCTGGTTTTCTCGGGCTGTTCCCGAGCTCCACTCAGGCGTAGGAGAATTATAGAACCTAGGATCTCGGACACCATGCTCGTCAGGCTGATTCCTCTGTGGTTATCACAGGAGGGTTTCCTGCCTTTTTTGGAAACCAGGAGACTGGCATGCATCATGAACCACTGGGAACCTGGGAGCACTGAGCAGCTATTTCATCCTAGTATGGGACTCTTCAATAGTACTCACCCATGACCCGACCAAGGATGGCGATCAACGACCTTCAGGTTCCACGCCCAGTATGTTACCAGTGACCTATAGGGTCAGTATACCCAACAAGGTCATGGATGCACACTGCTCAAGAGGAAACAGTTGTTCAGTGAGCCCAGGTTTTCAATGGTCCACTAAATGATGAATATCAACCTGAAATCAGTTTTTGCAGCTTGTCCACTAAGCGAAGCGATATGACCTCCTGCCTAAATGAATGACACCAATATATATATATATATATATATATATATATATTGTACGCACAGAATCAAGTGTTAAGCCAAAATTTACACCACTGTGTATGACACCGAGATCCCAGTAACAAAGCCGGTTGTTTAATAACAAATGAATTCAAAGCTGTCTACACCTCAAAAATATGATCGCTTTAATCAGAGGATACTGTGAACGCCTGGTTTTTCTTATCTACCAACCTTTATTAGTATAATATTGCTCTTCATCAATAGTACTGAAGTGGTTGAGTGTATTGACCACTTCACTTACCTGGGAAGTAGGATCAACCCTGGCGGGTTAGTTGCCGATGAGATCTCTGCACGGATACAAAAGGCTCGATTGGCTTTTGCCAATTTACGCCACCTATGGCGCCGCCGTGATATCCATTTATCTATCAAGGGTCACATGTACTGCACACCAGTCCGCTCTCTTCTACTCTATGGCTGTGAAACATGGCCATTGAAAGTGGAAGATATAAAAGGCTTCAGGTGTTTGACCACCGTTGCCTTCCTAGTATAGGACGTATTCCGTGGTGTCACCATGTGAGTAATGCAGAAGTCAGGTGTAGAGTTTTGGGGAGAAGAGGTAAGTCAGTTGACGAGGTTGTGAACCTTCATCGACTGAGATGGCTGGTTGGGACACGTACTACGTATGCCTAGTCACCGATTGCTTCACCACACAATGTTGGCTGAGGTGGGTCCAGGTTGGAAAAGACTCGAGGTGGCCAGACTAAAACATGGCACCAATGTATGAAGTCTCTGACTGTTGGTTTAAGCCATGTAGGACGATGCAGACTAGGTGGTTGGGGTCCACGGGACAAGAGGAACCAGTGTTTGGAGACCCTAGGTGATATGGCTGAGAACCGAAGTCAGTGGCGCAGATGAATATACACATTATCCTCATCTTAACAACGCTATACCGAATCTCACCATTTTGTCACCCCTCTTTTCTTTCTTCTCGTACTTTATATTTCTTTTGACTGCATTCAGTAATCTTCATCCTTCGCCTCACTACCTTTTTACTTGATATGCTGATATGAGGTGTGGCAACTCGGACCGTTACGCAGTAATGCCTGGTCCTATGTTGATAATGATGATGATGATGATGATGATCAATAGTACTGAAGGCAAGTGGGCACATATGTCTAGAGTAAGAATCAAATGATGAATGCCATTTTGAGTACACTTTTCTAATTTGTTGGCAAAGGCATAGGTGAACATTTCATGGTATATAGTATGATGAAAGTGATGTGTAATTATTTGTATTGAATAAACATTTATGAATAAATCACAACTCCTTGATTAAGGTTACATAGATCGCATACATTAGTAGACTGTTGAAATGTTATCGGATGATAAAGATGGAAACTTGAAAATCAGTAATTATCCAATATAAACTTCAGCAAAGTAAGCATTCCAAGAAGAGAAAATAAAACTAACTGGAATCTTTCCAATTTGAATGTTACTGCTCCTCACTCACCCCCACCCCTCAACCCCCATCACACCGTAGTGCCTCTCAATGTATCATATTCTCTTTACTCTCTTAAATAAAACAAGCAAATTCTCTATCCTAAGCGTAATGTTAGATAAAAAAAATTGAAATTTCACACACATACATCCTACAAAAACTACTATCCAAAGGTACGTTAAACAATCAGTGTAAAAAAAAAATGAAAATATCCATTTCAAATTATCTGTAGAATAAAAATGCATAGAGAATTATAAGGTACCTGTAAAACATAATCCATACGTCTTCCTTGATTCAGTTGACTGTTGAAAGTTATATCTTGATCGATTAAATTATGATATGTTGTTGTACTCTCGTCACGATCATCAGTAAGATTATGAACATCTATAAAGTGTTCTGATTCATCATCATCACCACCACTATGAGCAGTAAAAACAGCTGTTGTAGGTATGGGACCACCAACACCACCACCAGTAGCAACAGAAGAACCAGTTGGCAATGATTCACCTGATGTACCAATAAATCTATAACATAATGAGTAAGGAGATATTATAATACCATGCACGAGGTTATTTTCCAAAATCTAACAAGTTCATATACATTCAAACATCACAGTAATGTCCTTCACCGGCGTAGATATGAGTATATTCGACATATGTTTCATTTCTATCAAATATGGGATAATGGTTTAATACTGATCGGTAGGCTAATCTCAGTTTAGAGATAGGAAATCGGGCAGTGGTAGTAGTAGTCAATTCAGTGCTTCTGAGTGATGGTTCAGTAACTTGGCGTGTCACGAAAAGTATTTCCAACAAACTACAGACATACATCAACAATTACCGCCTACGCTCACTCCATACTGAGGATGGAGATCACATGGCCAGAAAGAATAAGCAACTAGGAACTCTGGTTGGCTGGCAACGAACCGAATCAAATACCTATCACTTAAAAAAATATACAGAAGGAAGTGGAGATGGATTGGGAATAGACTGAGAAGACGGTTTGGGGAGACCACGCGTCTGGCCTGTTCTCGAGTGGAAGCCAAATAAGAAATGATGAGTTGGGTGTCTGAGGTGAGGGTGACATGGAAGAGATGGTGTGAGGAATAAATGAAAGCTTGTGGACAGTGGTGTAGCCAGGTTGAAAAGACTGCAGAGAAAAGAGTGAAATGATGATGTGCTACTGAAACCGTATGTTACACAAGGAACCCAAATGACAAATAATAATGATAATAAAATCGTTACCTTTCATCGACTGTATCAGTTAATTTCGTGGAGAAGTTGTCTCCAGAGAAACAGATGGTCAACGCAGATCAAAAAATTTCTAAACCATCTAGGCCTTCTAAATTATTATCGTGTAAAGGTGGAATTCAGAATATTTATCATAAAATCATTATCTATAGTTCAGATCAATCAAGTTAAGAACAACGAGAAATCTTAACTGACAATCTTACTGAGTTGTCAAAACTTCGACATGTGCAGAGAATATCCCATCCGTTTGGCTAACGAGTCACATTTCCAATTACCTGGTATTCATTGCTTTCATTAAGAGTTTCATGCTTACAAGAAAAGAAATTACGTATTTGTGAGGTATCCGCCATGAACCTTTGAGAGGATTGAAAAGCCTTCCAAAATACACTCTAGTAGGCCACCTTAACAACTAATGATATAACCAATGCAACTTACCGATTTCAGCTAGAAAAGTAGTTTTTTATGTAAAATAAGTAAACCTGGTTTGTCACTTCAGTAGTTATTAAAGTGATCCTTGAAGTCATTCAGATATAGATTACACCTTTTAGTAGATCGTTTAATAGGACTTACATCACCTTTAAATATAATCATAATGAAAACAGAGAATAGAGTAACAGCTGACTAAAGTATATCCGTAAGGGAATTAGCATAAATAAATAATGAGAAATGTCAAAAGTATCTGTTTAGTGTACGTGTGTGTGTGCACACCTAAATATGGCTACCATCTCTCTGTCTCTCTCTCTCCCACCTCATACTATTTGGTGTAAAAATTGTAGGTTTCAAGCTTACAAGCGTATTGCAATGGATAATATGTAAGTAAACTAGGTCAACAACTTCAGCGTCAGGTAACACCCGTGAGATGATGGTGAGTGAAACCACCATTGAAATGGATGGAACGCTAGACAGGCGTCTAAAACATTCGTGAAACATTTTGAAGTACAGGTCAACTTGCCCTCAGTAACGCTTCAGTTGCCCAGAAACCAGCATGAACCTGAATGAGATGGAGATGTCGGTCCTCCAACTATCCTTGAAATTGAGAAGGCTGTATGGAACCTGAAACGATGCAAAGTAGGAGGACTTGGCAGTTTGTCACCTGAAGTTTCCAAGTATGGAGGTAAGAAATAGCTGATTAAAGTGACAGAGGTAATAGGTAGTGCATAGGAATCAAAGGTACTGTCGTCAGACTGGTCTACTTCTCTGACCATCTCAGTCTATAAGAAGGGAGACAAGTCTTCCTGTGACAGCCATAGAAGATTTAGATGCAAAGCTCCATAGTTATCCGACGCTTAAGAACAGTAACCTTGAGGAAACCAGAAAAATTTCAAACCCATAGAAAGAAGGTGCGTCTATCACATTTTCACCATTTGACAGGTTCTAAAATACAGGCATACTAACGGGCAGTGGCCGACACTTGCCAAATTTCTCTACCTGAAGACGGCATTCTATAGTAAGTAAGCAAAAATAAACCATCGTCATTCATGCACACACACATACATAGGATATAAGTTTCTGATCACTGAATGAAACACTTACTTATGCGCTAGAGCGAATTCATGCAAGCTACGCCAAGTAGACTGAACTGAACTGTACAGTTTACTTTTCAATTCAGAACCGACCCAAGCTAAATTATCTTTCAATTGTAAGTGTATACGCTTACGACCTTTGTGATGTGGAATTAGAATAGCCTTTTGCTGAAAAGAAAAAGGAAAACGGTTATCAGAAGAACAAGAAATGTGAACATTCTGGTATGTATACTATTGCTAAAAAGGGTTTAGAGTGTATCCTAGTGAATACATACTACAACCCTTCAGACTAATCATCCCTACCCAAAGTCAAAAGATTTTCAATCATTTTAACACGGTTTAACAATTGAAAATATTCTACAGAAGACTGATTATAAGGTATATGATACAGTTAGAATGATAGAGAACAAACATAGCATACTACAACACTGATAACATTGATCTCAAGTACAGTAGAGTCAATGAGTAATCTGACCATTTTCAATGTTCAGTAGAATACAAAAAGTGTAGCAGAGAAATTTTGAATTATATAGTCGAACTTCGCTAGACATTCTGTTGATGAATCCCAAATAGGACGAAACACGCGAACTGGATTCCTCTGCTAATAACAACCAAGTGAATTATCATAATTGATTTCTATTGTCTGATCGAGGTTCTTGAGGAGACCAAAATCAATGGTTGGCGACTCAAAATCGATTACAATAGTCCAGATGTATACAGTCCTTGTCATCTTCGAAGTCTTGAATATTTTCACTAATCTTCATCAGTTTATTCTTTATCTTTTAATAAACTTTCCTCTACTTTTGTGTAATTCATTTTCTATCCATGTTTTATTTGTACTGGATGATGATTGAAGGTGAAATGAAAATTTGGACCGTGGTTGGATTCGAACCAGCGACCATCGGGGTTTCCGACTCGATGCTCTACCAACTGATCTACGGGGTTCGACTGTTGACCAGGTTTCTTTATTTCACTTCAATCACCAAGGGTTTCTTCTGACTACTATGTGAATTCGTGATGCGTTACTGCAGTTTGATTGTATTCACGCTGGTCAGAAGTCGGATCTCGGAGCTCAGTTGGTAGAGCATCGAGCCGTGAACCCGATGGTCGCTGGTTTGAACCCAGCCACCGTTCAAATTTTCATTTCATCTTCAATCATCACCCAGTATCAATACTAGTCCGCCAAACCACGGCTATCTCAGATAGTCAGATTGATATGTTTTATTTGTACGCTGCTATGAAGTAAGGTAACTTGAATCGGTACATTTCTCTGCTATGCTGATATGTTAATATGATAGACTTTAAAGCAAGAAAGTGACACTTCGCTTTAATACTCAAACTATCAGTATAACTGCAACTTACCAACAGTGTTCAAGTTACTGAACTGCATAATAAACCACAATAACTGTGGAAGCTAGTTGAGCTACTACTACCGACTAGTTCAAACCTTATTAGATACGGTGCGGCGAAGCTCGAAACCATAAAGCGTTGATTGCCAATCCACTGTCTGACTGAATGAGTAACAGACCCATAGAAACTTAATGGATTGATGGTATGGATCGATGTTTTTCATGCTTACATATCTCCAATTACCACAGCTAGCAGAAATAGCCAGTAGCTTGACAGATACAACATATATCAACAACGTAAATCAATCCAACCCTCATCCGTTCGCACACACACTAACTAATTCAACAGATAGGATAGAATCAACGTAAACTCTCAAACACAAGTCCATAACCTCAAGTTGTTACACTTTACAGTAGTATACAAAGAACAGGTGAATAGGAAAGTAAATAAAGTTGTGTAAGAATATGCAATTTCAAGTTAACGGTTAGTGTAAATATTGAAGCATTAGAACATATCAATCCACTCCAAGCAAAATATTGAGATGCATCATCCTGGAGGAGAGAGAGAGAGTAAAAAAATGCTCTGCATTCAAAATCATAACAAAAATAGGTTGGCTGGCTTCAGGAAGAACAAATCATGTGCAGATCAAATTACAACGCTACGCTAAGCATCATCATAGAACAACAGCATAGAATAAATACCAGTCAACTGGATCTTTACCTCAACTTCATCCACTTTAAAAAAGCCTTCGATTGAGGCGTCCACAGAAAAGTAATTTGGCAGCTCCTTCAACTGCTATATGCTATGCTACATGCCAAGCGATTCACAATGGAAAGCTCAGTGATGCTTTTGAAGTGAAGACAGGAGTAAGATAAGACAACGTTGCCTACTATCACTGATGAACTTCATGACTGCGGTCGACTGGAGCACGCAGCAAACCGTGAGGAGCAAGAAGACGGACATACGCTGGCTGAACAGATGAAAAGACTCCAGAGAAGATTTGGATTTCGTCAATGATTTATGTTTAATGTCGCACAAACTCGAAGATCTACAGGAAAAAACGAACAAATTGGCACAAGAGGCAGGGCAGTGAGGACGGAACTTCCTTCAGGTGAACGTAGAGAAGACAGAGATGATGAAGATACCTAACCAATAACAACAAGCACCAATCACCATTAACAGGAGAAACCTAAAGGAAGTTGTCTCCTTCATCTGTCTAGGCCTAGGCAAGGGTAGCATCGTTTCAACTACAGGCGGCGGCACAAGCACAGATGACGACGTCAAAGCCAACATTGGAAAGACAAAAAGACAGGCCTTCCTGCATTAATCTGAAACCAATCAGTGTGTAGATGTACTGCACTGAGTGTAAAGAACAAAATCCAGATTTTCAACACCAATGTCAAGTCAGTGCTTCTATATGGTTCAGAAAAGCATTTCCAACAAACTACAGATATTCGTCAACAACTGCCTACGCTGGCTCGTCACTGAAGCTCGGATGGCCAGAAAGAATAAGCAACAAGGAACTCTGGCTGGCTGACAACGAACCAACCAACAACCTATTGCCCAACAGTTATGCAGAAGAAAGTAGAGATGGATTGGATTGTGCATACACCGAGAAAACCATTCGGAGACATCATGCACGAGGCACTCGAGTGGAATCCAGATGGGAAACGACGAGTTGGGCATCCCAGCTGAAGGTGACATGGAGGAGATCATATGAGGAAGGAATGAAAGCTTGTAGGAAGTCGTGGTGCCACGTTGAAAAACTGCAGAGAACAGAGTGGGATGGAGACGTGCTACTGAAGCCGTATGTCCCACTAGGAACCCAAGGGACAATTAATAATAATAATATATCAGGGGTGATTAGATTTGCGCCACTGTTACCGATTTTCAGCCATGTCACAAGCAGTCCTAAACCATTGATTTCTATTGTCTCAGGGACCTCAGTGAGACAGCCTACATCTCCCCAAACGGCTCAAACCAATAGTCAAAGACTTCTTGGACTGATAGCAGGTTTTAGTCTGACCACTCTCAACTCTCTTTTGACCTAATCTACTCCCCTCCCAATAGCATAATTAATTCAACTCCTTTTTTACCTAATGCTGTACACACCCAATTTCCTTATCGATTCCAAAGCACTCAGGCATTACGAATAATTGACATCTATTGAATGTTTTCTTAATTGACATCTAGTATAACTAGATGGTGAGTACAATATACAACTGTATAGTAGACAATAAGACGATGTAGGGAACATGTACATATTGAATTTTGAGGGAGTTGTGGAGATTTGGAAATATTTCAAGTTGTTATTCATCGGCGGGTGCGCTATATCGTGAGCTAACAGAAGTTGGAAATATGGACCATTGGATTCCAACTCAGTGGCTCAATGGTAGCGCGCTGGCCACGGAACCTGAAGGTGGCAGGTTCGATCCCTGGAGGGCGGGGTCGTGGGTGTGCACTGCTGAGGAGTCCCACACTAGGACGAAACAGCTGTCCAGTGCTCCCAGGTTTCCTTTGCTCCTCCAACTGATGTCAGTATACGATGAATAACAACATGTACATATATCAACTAACCTGAAATTCAGGATCAATCAACATTTCCATACGATAGGCAACTGGATCGAATGGATGAAATATATTGTAAAATGTTGAACATGTTGGTAGATGAAATTCTCTACTCAATGTTCGTATACCTCGAGCAGTTAAAAATAATGGTATTGGTGAACCTAATGTATACAAACCAGAGATAATGAATTCTAATTGTGGATAATTTGGTAGAGAAATACCAAATCCAGCTGTAGCATTACCATTACCATTATTAGTTATATGATTTAAAGAGAAACGATGATTTTCTAACCAAAATGATGTGAAAGTGGTATGTGATACAGTATCGGTAGTTGGCAACAGACTACTACTAGTAGTAGTAGCAGTAGGGTCTGATGTCATAGGACTCGCATCTTTATCTTGATTATGGTCATTTAACTTGATCAATAATGAATGAAGTACACTACGAGTTTGTTCAACATTCATTCCATTCTGTAGTAATATTTGACTGAGATTACTTATGAGGACAGTGGTGTTTAAAGATGATGCATTGAACATTGAACTCAATTGACATTTAACAGTATTATTATTATTATCAACATTTGTTTTTTGCTTATTATAATGAATTCCATTATGATTGTTATCAGTGTGTTGTTGTTGTTTATAGTCAACTATAGACCATCCATCTATATCATTTTGACCAGATTCACTGCTATGCTCACTTTTATTCTCTTCATTTGTATTCAACAATAATGTATTGCCTTTTAGTGGATAAGTTGTTGATGAGGCTGATGAAGAGCAGGACAACGACGAAACATTCGTAGAATAGTTGACACTAGTCACTATAGTTGTTGAACCACTATTGCTAACATCACCAGCATCCATAGTACAAGCGGCGGCAGCAGCAGCGGTAGAAGTAGCAGAAATAGGAATCATTGTTGAGGGAGTTATACATCCTGTCGATTGATTGGTTAACAAATCACTAAGTAATTCATCAACATAGTCCACATCACCTGTTGTCATCGATTGTGTATCCGTATTGTTTATGATACTGCCAGCTGTAGTGTTGTTATACGTTGTCTCCGATGAAACTGCAGATAACTGATCAACTGTTGCAGCACATGATGGATTATAGGGATTTTGATGACATAATAGATCAAATGATATAACAGCGCCTAAACTATGACCGATAATGGAGATATTACCCTGAAAAAGAAAGGAAAATATCAACACATCAGTGATTTGTTATTTTTTTTTTATACTAAAAAGCTTTAACTAGCCTTCTGTATCCGAGCTGAGGATTTCGTCACCAACCAACCCCCTTCGAGATGATACAAGTCCCCCACTTCCACCTCTGTCATTAAACTGCGAGCATCACCTTCTAAGATGATGCTCTTGATTTGACAGGTGCCAGCGAAATCCATGCCAAACATACTCAAATTTCTGCTCAACTTATCCAGAAAACCCAGGCATTGAGTCAAAGTCTTCACCTACCACGACATCATCGTTTGCATGCACCATATCAACTAGATGACTTTCAAGGGAGTAGACCAATCCCTTAGAAGTCAGATATACTTAAGGTCACGTCTATTAGTACGTTTATAATGAAGTTAAATAGGAACAGTGATAGTGGACATCCTTGTCGGACATCACTAGTTGTCGTGAATTCTGACGACAAATCTTCATAAGCTCTTACACGACTGCATAAGTTCGAGTAGAGAGTTTTGATAAACATGATATACTTGTTTGGCACTCAATTCACACAGTCAGATACTCCCACACAATACTGTCATTAACATTTATAACAATACTGTAAGTCTACAGTAATGATGGATAGTGGCTAGCAGTGGAATCCAGGATGCGCATTTCGTCCTACTTGGGACTCGTCAGCTGGATGCACCTGCCTCCTAGTGAGTGATGTTGTTCCCACTGGGATTCGGACTCGGGAGTGGTCGCTTCAAACGCCAGCACGTTATCCACATCTTGCGCGACGGGTATAGTTTTAGTATTATTCCTTGTATTATACAGTTGTTGATTGGACTGAATTGATCAGTCTCTGTTGGCATATGGGCTCCTGTGCAGATGTCTCGATATTGCCTGTGTTCTTAACTATATATAATAATGATGGATGACGGCTAGCAGCTGACGAGTCCCAAATAGGAATAAATGCGCACCCTGGAATCCACTGCTAGACACTATCCATCATTACTATATAGTTAAGAACACAGGTAATATCAAGGCATCCGCACAGCAGCCCATAAGCCAACAGAGACTGATCAATTCGGTAAAATCAACGACGGTGTAATACAAGCAATAACATTAATACTATAAATCCAGTAAATTTTGTTTTAGTAAATTGGATATCAACAATTTACTTACATGCAAAGAGCACAAAAATACAGATTGATGATAACGGAAGCCCATTCACTCATACCATCATCTTTAAATAGTGAGTGAACAGCACCCAACAATACAGAAGTAATGTATACCAGTGCAATATAATAATGTACTCAATATACTATGTGGAATATCAATGCTTTGGTGTTGAATGAACGAAATGCACTCAGACATCTTCTGAACGTTCACGCGATAGGCATACTGAATCACATAACTGCGTGAGGGCTATGATGATAATTATTATTATTATTGAAAACATTTGTGTTACCGATCGAAATTTAAAACAAGCAATGGATGTGTGAAAAAAGTAGGATTTAATGAATTTCAGTAGTACTCATCAGTTGAATACTCTCTTTACATACTTGATTACTATATATACAATGAAAAACAATGGAAAAGAAACATACATACATACATACATACATACATACATACATACATACATACATACATACATACATACATACATACATACATACATACATACATACATACATACATACATACATACATACATACATACATACATACATACATACATACATACATACATACATACATACATACATACATACATACATACATACATACATACATACATACATACATACATACATACATACATACATACATACATACATACATACATACATACATACATACATACATACATACATACATACATACATACATACATACATACATACATACATACATACATACATACATACATACATACATACATACATACATACATACATACATACATACATACATACATACATACATACATACATACATACATACATACATACATACATACATACATACATACATACATACATACATACATACATACATACATACATACATACATACATACATACATACATACATACATACATACATACATACATACATACATACATACATACATACATACATACATACATACATACATACATACATACATACATACATACATACATACATACATACATACATACATACATACATACATACATACATACATACATACATACATACATACATACATACATACATACATACATACATACATACATACATACATACATACATACATACATACATACATACATACATACATACATACATACATACATACATACATACATACATACATACATACATACATACATATACTGTAGACTACTGAGACATAGATTTAGGTGTAACAATATAGAAATGAACAGTTTTTACAGGTTAAGTGAAATAACAAAGAGTAGGAATGGATGTTCAAAACTGAATGGGTTGGGGATAGGTTACATGATTAACTATGAGTTTGGATAATAGTGGATTTCATGTGGGGAAATAATGATGATAATAATGACACATCTAAATGTTTATATCAATTCGAATGTACCTGCGGAAACAAAATATATTGATCGTAAGGAGAAGCGTCTGTTTACCCGAATGATTGAAGCATGCGGAGAAGAAGACCCCGAGGAGCTCGATAACGAAATACCTAGTGGATTATATAGATTACGATTATCGGTAGACAGGAAAATAATAAATTGCTTGGATATGCAGAATCTTGCGCAAATCGAGTTTTCCGCTCAAACCTCTGCATTCAGAAGGAAATGGTAGTCAGCTTGAATCTGCCCCGGGTAATAATTACGTTGTCTAATCATAAATAATCTTTCTTACTTGCTCTTTATTATCGCTCATCTTTCCTTGGTTTGCTTCGCTTAAATAACCTCATTCCCATTACCATTGTTATCATTAATAATCATCTCAATATACACCTGGTTTTCTTATTATGTCTGGATAAGTATCGTGTTCTGAATGGCATGATCTACGAGCAATCGATTCACTTCTCACCCCTGTGTCAACATTATTATTATTATTATTGATACTGGGTGATGATTGAAGGTGAGATGAAAATTTCAACCACGGCCGGATTGGAACTGGCAACCACCAGGGTTTCCAGCCCGATGCTCTACCAACTCGTAGCTCAGTTGAATACATCATGAACACAAATCACCTTATCACAAGAACCTCCTCGTTAAAAGTCATCCACATAATGAAAAGAAACCTTGCAAAGGCTGTATGTCTTCGTATTCTCTGCATCCCCGAAGCTCATGCAATCGATATGGAGAAGCCTGAACTATGTACGTAAAAGAAAATTATTCAACCCTATCTCCTTTCATCGTCTCAGTTTTCAGTCTTTGAAATCTCTGCTCCCTCCTCCCCCCCCCTTTCTTTTCATTTTTCTGTTTAGACACTATTCCTTTTCTAAGTAATTTGTTGCCCTTTCTTGCTACTATGCTTTGTCTCATCATAACTTACTTCCCAGTTATGTCATCATGTCACGAAACTTCTCTTGTTCAAACTTATTCTGATTAATATTCACTATTCATCACAGTTTTTTTATTTTAACGACAGCTCATTTATTGACACTATTTGAGTTGCTTGACAAACCGTTGTTAAGGGAGTTGTGGAGATTTGGAAATATTTCAAGTTGTAATTCATCGTAGACTGACATCAGTTGGAGGAGCAAAGAAAACCTGAAAGCACTGGACAGCTGTTTCTTTCTAGTATGGGACTCCTCAGCAGTGCGCACCCACGACCCCGCCCTCCAGGGATCGAACCTGCCACCTTCTGGTTCCGTGGCCAGCGCGCTACCATTGAGCCACTGAGTTGGAATCCAATGGTCCATATTTCCAACTTCTGTTAGCTCATGATATAGCGCAACCACCACCCAATGTCATCGTTGAGTAACTGTCCTCACGACCATCAGGCTTTGACTCCACTGGTCACGACTTTTCATTGGAACTTCGGGAATACCTCTCGAAGCTGGTCACCAATGAGCACCAGTTCAATTGGATTTTGTAGGAGCTGTGGAGCTAACAGAAGTTGGAAATATGGACGATTGCATTCTGACCCACTGGCTCAATGGTAACGTGTTGGCCGCGGAACCTGAAGGTTGTGGGTGCGCATTGCTGAAGAGTCCCATACTAGGAAGAAACAGCTGTCCAATGCTCCAAGGTTTCTTTTGTTCCTCCAACTGATGTCAGTCTACGATGAATAAAAACTTGAAACCGTTTTTAACTATCAAATCCTTAGCACGAGAAAAAAATGTATAAATTTGTAATTGTACAGCTTTAAAGATGAAATCGCTGAAATATACTTGTTCTCCTTTCAGATCTTGATGGGTATATTATTCACATATTAAATATTATTTTTAATGTTATATAATGAAATTGGAAAGAAGAAAAACTTACAGTAAATTTTGGGTTACGCAATAGGAATAGATTACGTAATCTTGTAATCTCTCGAGCCACTGTATTTACAATAATCTGTGAATATTTAGAACTTGTATAGAACAATATATCCATTAGTGTATCATTAGTAAATTGTCTTAGTTTTGGTATACTACCAAGTGTAATCTGTTCTAATTGTTTATCTAGACCAGTCACGGTATCTGAGTGTAATTCGTCATGCCAGAGAATTGGTAAAAATTCTACCCGATATGGATGATGTGAAAAATGAGTTTGACTCAACTGTCTTGCTGTACGTCTACAATATATAAAAGGAGAAGAAAATAAAACATACCACTGGAAAAAAAATAATATAAATAAACTCCAAGAAATATGTTGAACAGTTTAAAAGAAATCGTTCAGGTGTTCAACATATGTAGAGAAACAATGCTCAAGAAGCGCCTTTCATCAAAGTGTAGACGAACTTCAAAAGGTCAAATAGATCGTTTTTTATTGATTCCAGGGGGATAATCATCGATAAGATGATGATGGTGGATATTTTTCAACTCTAACTACCCAACACTTTGATGAAGATACTTACTAACTCACATGATTATTGATATTGATAATGAATAGGAGCAGTAAATTGTACTTGGAACGTTAATCTAGTAAAATGATACTGTATCACTGTGTGCTGTAGAAATCCAAACCAACTCTCAGCAATCTTGTGCACATATCTGTGGATTACGCGATAAGCTACAGTTAATGCGGCTGCCTAAACCTAGATAGGTGGGCTGGGTTCGAACTCACGACTCACTTGTTGAAAACCGAGTGGCAAGACTAATGGAACCATAGACTAATGCAGTATGGAACTACAATCTGTTAAAGTCCCCACGTTCTGTACTTACGGATATTCCATTCTGCGACAACTTTGCTTAACAGCACACTTGGTATTCTAGTAAGATCACTAGCCTATATCTACTACATAAGGTTGTATCCACAAATGAAAAATATTTAAGCAGACAGTAAAAAGAGGGAATAGATTGATATTTTGTCACTCATATCACCGATACATCCCCTTGATGAAGAAAGGTGGAACCACCAAGTTAGTAGTGTATATGAGTGTGCAAACCTATGGAGGCTTGAACAGTAATACTAAAAAGGTGGTAATAATTATTACTATTAGGCCACATAATCCTGGAGAGACTGAAAAAAAGCACTGCATTCAAAATTATGACCAAAACAAGTTGCCCGGCTTCAGAAAAAACAAATCATGTGCCAACCAAATTGCAACGCTACGCTAAACATCATAATAGAACACAGCATAGAATGAATACCAGTCAACTGGATCTTTACCTCAACTTCATCCACTTTGAAAAGGCCTTCGATCGAGGCATCGACCAAGAAGTAATTTGGTAGCTCCTTCAACACTACGCTTTCGCTGCCACAAACCTTTGTCAACCTCATTCAGCAGCTATATGAAAACGCCAAGTGATTCACAATCGAAAGCTCAGTGATGCCTTTGAAGTGAAGACAGGAGTAAGATCAGATAACGTCGCCTACTATCACCGATAATCTTCCTGATTGTGGTCGACTGGACAACAAGTTCATACACATTCAAACATCACTAATATCCTTGAGCAGCGTAGATATGAGTATATTCGACATGTGTTTCATTTCTATCAAATACGGGATAATGGTTTAATACTCAGCGGTAGGCTACCCCTAATTTAGGGATAGGAAATCGAGTAGAAGTAGTCAGGTCACTGCTCCTATATGGTTGAGAGACTTGGCACGTTACGAAAAGCATTAACAACAAACTACAGACATACATCAACAGCTTCTGCCTACACTCACTCGACTTTGAAGATGGAGATCAGAGGCCAGAATAATAAGAATAAGTAACAAGGAACTCTAGTTGACTGACAATGAACCAACCAAGAAGCTATCGCTCAACAAATATGCAGAAGGAAGTGGAGATGGATTAGATTAGGCATGCACTGAGAAGACCATTCAGGGACGTCACGTGCCAGGCTCTCGAGTGGAACCTCGATGGGAAACGATGAGTTGGGTGTCCCAGCTGAGGGTGACATGCAGGAGATGATGTGAGGAATAAATGACAGATTCTAGGCTGTCGTGGAGCCAGGTCCGAAAGATTGCAGAGAATAGAGTGGAATGGAGACGTGCTATTGAAGCCCTATGTTCCATTAGGAACCCAAGGGACATATAATAAAATAATAAATAATGTTTCAACAAATACTCTTCTGGTAAAGAATTTTTAGTCAGAAACAATTTTTACATCTGAATAGTCTCTTAATAATAACGAAATGAAAGGGACTAATTTGAAATAAGTAGCAGGGGTGTTATGTCAGTCAGTGTCCAGTTCAGACTGTGAATGAATACAAAATTATGCTGGTGGTAGTTCAATCCAGCCAGCATACAAATTGTACTTTTAAGCATCTCATCTCAAGATGTCCATTTCAATTCAGCATTAACATTTTCCTTTGTTGGGGTTCACAGCTTGAGAAACAAAGTTTGAAAACAATTTTAAAAGATATCTGAAAGATTGAAACAAATAGAAAGGGAAGAATTCGATAATTAAATATCATCAGTGGAAAAAAAATGTTTTGGTAGCCCATGATTTAAGTAGACCGCCCTGATACGAATCGATACACAGTTGTGTTCGTAGAACTACTTTGTACAACACATATCAGTAAACTAATTGATGAATAAACTGTAAAGCCAAGAACAACACACAACAGATCATTAGTTAAAGCTAGGAGAAAAATTCGAAGAAAAAAGGGATAGAAAATACCTGAACCAATTCATAAACAATAAATCAAAAGAATTTGGGGTTTTTTGGGGATTTAGTGATTTTTCCAAGTTGGTATTCATCATAGACTGGAAATATGGACCATTAGATTCCTACTTAATGGCTGGCTCAAAGGTAATATACTCGTCACGGAACCTGAAGGTTCGGAGTCATAAGTACGTCCTGCTAGGACGAAACAGCTGTCCAGTGCTCCTATGTTTTCACCACCTAATGTCAGTCGAAGATGAATAACAGGTTAAAGTCAGTAAATCCCTACAAACCCCCAAATTCAATTGATCAAGTCCTCATTGGTAACTGGCTTCGAGAGGTGACTACAGAAGTTGCGATCAGAAGTCATGATCGGTAAGGCAAACCTGGTGATCGTCAGGGCAAATACTCAACGATGACATTTGCTGATAGTCACGCTATGTCGTGGACTGATAGAAGTTAGAAATATGAACCATTAGATTCCAGTGGTTGGCTCAAAGACAATGTGCTGGCCACGGAACCTGGAGGTCCTGGGTTCGGTCCCCAACGGGGTCATGAGTGCTCACTGCTGAGAGGTCCCACACTAGGAAGAAACAGTGTCCAGTGCTCTCAGGTTTCCAGTTTCCTCCAACAGATTTCAGTTCATGATGAATACCAACTTGAAATCAATAAATAATGAATTTATAAGGAAATAAATGGCGAACATATCTGCACTAACGAGAATGATTTTGTGTCCTATCTCAATGAACATCTTCCTGCAGTGACAGAGAATGTGAAACTCTCAAAAATATCAGTTTGTGAAACTGTACTTCTTTATGTTAGGGATGTTATTTTACTATTATTTGTCTCTTGGGTTCCTAGTGGAACATAGGGCTTCAATAGCACGTCTCCATTCCACTCTGTTCTCCATAATCTTTTGAACCAGGCTCCAGCAATGCCCAGAAGTTTTCATTTATTCCTCACATTACCTCCATGTCACCCTCAGCTGGACACCCAACTCATCGTTTCCCATCGAGGTTCCACTCGAGAGCCTGGCACGTGACGTCCCTGAATGGTCTTCTCAGTGCATGCCTAATCTAATCCATCTCCACTTCCTTCTGCATATTTGTTGAGCGATAGCTTCTTGGATGGGTTAGTTACTCGGCCAGAGTTCCTTGTTGCTTATTCTTTCTGGCTATCCCAGCTTCAGTAACGAGCCAGTGTAGGCAGTTGTTGATGAATATCTGTAGTTTGTTGTAAATGCCTTTCATAACGAGCCAAGTCTCTGAACCATCACATAGAAGCACTGACTTGATATTAAGGTTGAAAAACCGGATTTTGTTCTTTATGCTGAGTGCAAAAGATCTCACACTTCAGGAATGTTAGATCCCTAAAAATTAACGCTTTATGTCTTATATGCATAAAATTCCCCTGATAGAAATTTGAATTTATCTATTTCGCGCATTATTCTACCTCTCACTTGTTTTGTACCATTTTACTACTTTTATTTAAAGATGATGTTTTCTTAATATTTATTTCTAGTTCACCATCAAGGGCATTCCCATTGCATGTAAACCAATGAGATATGCTATTAAATTTTTATACTTTTCCAACTGAAGTAAATGTTCTTCAGTCTACTTGTCGAGTATTGTAATCCATTCATTCAGTATGGATTATAAACGTCCCGAGGTTAACCATATGCTCGAATCTCAACACCTTTATTGAATGTTCATCAGACAACACAGATGAAGATATTATGGACTTATATGTCAGACAATACGGTTTGATATTCTTCTACGGAGGATTCCAATATCTCAAAGACTGTAAAGTCAATCATAACATTTATTTCATGAAGCCAACAGAGGTAGAGATCCCGTTAGGTAATATAGAAAATGTTATTCAGTAAAAAAGAGTAAATAATACCATTTAAAAACGTTGTAGTACATGTTATGAATTATGCGTTACGATGCCATCCACTCCACTATCCAATCTATAAAAAATTAGACAACCCAACTACAACGACATAATAATAATAATGGCTTTATTCTGAAAGATATTTCGGTAACACTCTACAGAATTTTCAGCATGTCATATAGCATCAATTGAATAGAAATAGTCTATATGTATACATAATAAAATGGAATAAGAAGCAATTACATGAAGAAAAGAAGAATATTCGCGCTATCTACAAGTTCCTTCAAAATACACAGTCAATTTAGGGTAGACAATCATATTAGCCATTAGTCTCATAATACATACACTCATCTTCAATTACTTTGCTTTCAATAGTAGAAGTTGATTAGTTAGTTCATTTTCTAACACTTTCTTCATCACACAAGCAGACGAGTTAAACACGTACTGTATTGTAGAGTTTTTATATTTTATAGTACTTGCATAAAGTCCTATTTACTTGCTCCTTATTATTCCAGATGACTGACACGCAGACAGCTTAAAGTGGAGAGGATGTTGGATGTCTGATAAAATAAATCCTGCCAGATGCTTACATGAGTTCCTCTGTTTGTTCACAACACTTTTAACTA